TTCTGTGAAGGTGTGGCTAAACCAGTGTGCTCCAGCAGAGATGTGGCTTTGCTGTAGCTTTTTTACAAAATTAAAGGTGACTTGCTGGGCTGGGCAGAGATCTGGCACTGGTATTGTCCTGCTTGATGTCTGGAACTAGGACAGTTCTGACTGTTGGAGCCTTCCTGGTCACTCCTCCTGGCACCCCATGGGTGTTCTCTGAGATTCCCATGTGTTGGAAGTGTTTTGCCTCTTATGCAGGTGGTCATTCTGGCTGTGTGTTTTCAGGAAGAAGTTTAAAACTCGTTCAGGGGATACAGTGCGTCTTATAGATCTGCTGGAAGAAGGGCTGAAACGAGCCATGGACAAGCTGAGAGACAAGGAACGGGACAAGGTAGTTGTGACAGATTTCTTAGCTTTCCTGAGAACTTCCCAGATTTGTTCACAGCCTTATGGTTTCCACATTCTGGATGTGAACTGAGAATATGGATGTTGCCAAACTGCCCCGGAGATGCCATGGGTTGTGTACACAGTCACTGTGGAGAGCTGGGCCTGGCAGGGTTTCTGGCCTTGCAGGTACCATCGGGTCTCGCTGGTGTGAGGGTTGACAGCAGCGACTCCCCCAGGATGCAGGAGGTGGTGGCAGAACATCAAGTTGCAGCCTTGGCCTGCTGGGCTAGTGGTGACTGCTGGGGATGGTTGGGGATGTGCAGGGGGATTTGACGTCAGGCTTCACCCTTTCCTTGGAGGCTGTGGCTGAGTTTGCTGGAAGCCCTTTGCCTAATGAGTTTTCTGTCTGTGTTGGATCCTGATGGCCTGGAGAGAACTGGCCAGTGTGGGACATGGAATGGAACAGAAGGACCAATCTGTCCAAGCACTGTGTGAGGCAGAGAAATATGGAAGTGCAGCTCCTTGGTGCTGTAGAGCATAGAGTGAAAGGTCCCTTTTTAAACAGGAACACAAGGAAGCACATTAGAAAACCACCTTGAAAATCTCCCAGAGGTTCATATGAGTCAGACACAGAGTGCTTTGCCATGCCATGCCAGGGTGCTGTTCCACCAAAGAGGGGTTTTGTGAGTGTTTGGACTGCCCAAAATGCTCTCTAGGATGGCCAAGTGTTTGATATATGTACACAGGGTTTGTAAGGAGCAGGAGTACAGTATGAGTGTCAAACCTGTATGGCCTTGGGGATACAGAAGTTCTGCAGGCCTTCAGGAGTAGAGAGGTCAGCCTTAACCTGGGCAGGGCTGCAGTGCCATTTGATTGCAGGAGAAGTGAGGGGCAGATATGGGGTTTTCTGGTGTCTCGAGGTGGAAAAATGGGTGTGAGCCTTTCACCTACCACATGGGTAAAATCCCCTCAGCAGCCTGGGCTTTCCTCTTGAGCTGTGCTGAGTGGCCAGGGCTGCATGCTGTGGTTGGTGATGCCAGTGTAGCATTCTTCCTCTTGACTGTTAACTGTCTTGAATTGCAACAGGTACTCACAGCAGAAGAGCTGAAAGCTGCCCAGACATCAGTCGCTTTCGGATGTATTAAATATGCAGATCTCTCCCACAACCGCCTAAACGATTACGTGTTCTCCTTTGACAAGATGCTGGATGACCGAGGGAACACAGCTGCGTATTTGCTGTACGCCTTCACACGGATCAGGTAGGCTGAGTGCGCAGGGAGCCGCTTGTAGCTGGTCTCTGATGCTCTCTGCATCTTTATCGCAAAGGGAGATGCGAGGAAGGGGGTGACAGTTGCATCAGTGTTGTTAGGGGTGGTTGGTAAGATGAGCCAGCCACACTGGTATGTGCCATAGGCAATATTTTATTTGCCATTGGAAATAGTGTCCTCTGAAGCGGGGCTCCTCTGTGTGACACACATCCCAGGCTTTTAGCCAGCAGGGAGGGAACTGTGGGAGTTTCTGGTAATTCCATTAGAGGATTGATGTGGTGGAGAGGGGTGAGCCTGTGTTCCAGCAGCTGCTTACCCCCGCTGTTGCTGTACCCCACACAGCCCTGAGTCCTGATTTGCTTGGCAACATCGGCTGTCCTTGCCAGCACCTGTGCCCAGCACATCCCTCCCCGCTGCACTGCAGCACCTGCTAGATCACCCCAGAGCAGTGTCTCCTGGTGCCTTCCCATGGCTAATTGCTCTCTTCTGCCCTGGTAACAAGCCCTGGGCAAGCGAAGAGATCAGCAGGTAGCCAGTGCTAGCCCCAAGACAGGCCCAGCGGGTGACCAGCTGCAGGCTGGCCCTGGGGCAGGGCAAGCCGTGGGACCCTCACGACTGTGTCGGATCGTTTCAGGGCCATTGCTCGCCTGGCCAATATTGATGAGCAGATGCTGCGGAAGGCAGCCAGGGAGGAGGTGCTCATCCTTGACCATGAGAAGGAGTGGAAACTGGGCAAATGCATCCTGAGGTTCCCTGAGATCCTGCAGAAGATCCTGGATGACTTGTTATTGCACACGCTCTGCGACTACCTTTATGAGCTGGCCACCACATTCACCGAGTTCTACGACAACTGCTACTGCGTTGAGAAGGACAGGCAGAGTGGTGAGTGTTGGCCATGGGGTGTTGCACATGCCATTGTCACATACCACAGTACAGGCAATCTGTGGGGTGTTTCCCGGTGCTGGGAAGGCCGTTGTCACCTTACTGGCTGCTGCAGAACCAGTGATGTCCATCTGGGAGGACTGAAGGTGGCTGGCACAGCCTGTGTGGCCATCTGCCTGTGAAGCAGGAGGGTTGAGCCGTGAGTTGTGAGCAGCCAGGCACCTGGAAAGAGGGCTGGCCAGTCTGTCTGGCCTGGGGAGAACTGGAGAGGGCTCATCATGCCCAGCCCCAGGGCCAGACTGTGGGTGGATGGGCTTCCCCTGGGGAAGGGAAGGCGGTGTTAGTTGTTCTGAGTAGCTGCCTCAGCTCCTGTGTTGGTGTTTTGCAGGCCAGATCGTGAAGGTGAACATGTGGAGGCTGCTGCTCTGCGAAGCCACTGCCACCGTCATGGCCAAAGGGTTTGACATCCTGGGCATCAAGCCTGTGCAGAGGATGTAGCAGTGCCCTGTAGGGTGACAATAAAGGGACTAAACAACTGGAAGCATCTGTGTCTGTTGGGGTGGGGTTGTGGTAAGGGAGGATGCTCAAGGGGAGCAGCACTCCCTTAGGAGAGAAAGGGAGGAAGGATTAAAAGGCAAGGAGAAAGTAAGGTAAGAAGGAAGGAAGACAGGGAGGGAGGAAGGAATAAAAGGAAAGGAGAGAACAGGAGTATGGTTTCAGAAGCTGCAGGTACAGAGGCAGACAAGGGGAGCTGTAGGCACAGCTCAGAGCAGTTCTCTGCAGGAACCAAACCCCACAGGCCCATGCTCGGGGCAGCTGTGCTTCAGCCTGCAGAGTTTAAGGACTGAGAACTCAGAACACCCACAAGCACCTCAGGAAACCCTCCAACAACAGTACAGTCACCCACACTCTCAGAGCCACCCTTACTCTGACGACTCCCGCCATCCTCTTTACCTTATTTGCTAGGTGTGAGCAGATGACCCAGCTTTTGATGCCATCTCTGGCACCCCCCAGCAGAGCACGGGAGCTCTCGAGGCAGCCAAGCAGTCTCAGCCCAGCTCAGCAGTACAAGGCCCTGGCGCTCAGGATGCTTCTCATGAAGTTATTAGTGAGCTGATCAGCAGTAAGGTACCTGCGCAAGAGATCAAACATCATACTCAAGGTCTGAACTTTAGTGTAACGCACCAGGGAGCTGTGAACCACCACCACTTACCAGGACAATGGAGTGCAGGCTGTGGGGTGTAACACACATCCACATTGCTGCCCTACTGTGCAGGTGGCCTGTACCAGCCCTCAGAAAAGGGGTGGCTTCCTCAGTGGCCCTCGGGAGAGTGGTGTTAAGGGCCATGCTGTGGGAGCAGCATCATCAGCTGCCTGCAATTCTGGTGTAGGCAAGCAGGCAGGAGCAGGAAGCCCAGGGGAGGTGCAGATCGACTACATTCCCTCAGAGTATGCCGTAAGGGAAATGCCTCTCCCCAAAGCAGCAATGGTTTGAATCCCTACAGAGTCAGCAAACCTCTCTGCTGGCTGCATATCAATCTCATGTAACCACAAGGCCAACTACAAGGCGGTGGGTCATGGCTCCTGCCTTTGCTTTGGGATTTGTCAGAAGCTCTGCTCTGCAAGGTAAAGCAGCACAGAAATGTGGCTTTGCTACCATTAGAGAGTGGGTGTTGCACTTGATTTAGGTGCTTGCCGACAATAAGCGTGTGTGTATATGTACGTATGTATCTGTATAGATGTATATAGATACAAGAGATATATGTATCTGTTTATCTGATGTCCCAGGTTCTTTCCCATATAAACAGTTGCGGGGCTGGGCTTGGCTGTGGCAGCTAGACTGGGCCTAGCACCATGGGTCTGGCACCGACACAAGCAGCTGCCCAAACCACGTGCTGTGCTACCTGTCCATCCCCTGTGCATGCACACACACCTGTACCCCATGCCCTGGCCCTGTCCTCCCTCCTCCCAAGGCTGGGCTGGGCATGGGCAGGAGGCCAGGCCCCTCTGGAGCACCCCACTGTGGAGTCAGGGAGCATCAGGGTGGGCGCTGAGCGCAGCACCGTGGGGTAGGGCTGGGCAGCGCCCCACAAGCCAGGACCCCGTCCCACTGTACCTGAGGGAGAGGCCGGGCAGGCCCTCAGTGGCAACCAGCAGAGGGTCCCGGTCGCAGGGGCTGAGGCCAAGCCAGGCAGGGTCAGGTCTGGTGGCAGTAACAGCATCAGCCGCAGTCCAGTGATCGCCGGCCACGGCCACCAGGCAGGGCCGGGCGTCAGGGTGAGAGTCTGGGTCCAGAGCAGCGGGTACGTATCCGGGAATGGGCATGGCTGAGGCTGCCCCACAGAGCTGCCTGCAGCCTCTCCTGGTCACCAGCAGAAGGGTCACAGCCTTCTCCAGGTGTTCTCTGAGCCTGGACCCTGTCGGGGGGGGGGCACACCAGCAGGGCCCTAGCACCCCTCGGTGCCCTGGCTGTAGCAGGAGCATGCAGGATGTCGGTGGGTCCAAGGGCAGCTTGGAGTCCCTGTGGGGCTATTTTGGGGGTCCATGCCGGCCAGGATGGGGCCAGCTCCCATCTCGCCAGGGCTGACTGTAGGGTGTGAGGCAGGCAGCAGGGGTCAGGGCCCCCTGGTCTGGCAGCGGGGTGGGGGTTTGGGGGGTGGTCACTTAGGAACTCTGGCCACACTGGGGACTGATGCCACGGAGAGATCAGCCCCCAGGCTGGGCTGGGGGTGTGGCTGTCAGTGGGAAGCAAGGGGCTGGTTGTGGGGGTCAGTGCTGGGGGAAGCCCTGGGGCAGGGCCATGTGTCAGTTCAGGGGAGCCAATGGGACAGCAGCCCCTGCCCGGCCGTGGTGCTGGAGTGGAGCATGAGAAGGCCTGAGCTGACTGTTGGGGTGCACCAAGGGCTAGTGGCTCCTGAGAGAAAGAGGCTGGGAGTCAAGTGGGATAATGGGGCTGTCAGGGCAGCCACCCAGTCTCACAGTGCCTGAGCCCAGCCTGAGGTGGCAGCCAGCGTCGGCCGAGAGTCCGGATCATCACACGCATCCACAGTGATGTGGTCCAAGGTTGAGCCAGGAAGGTGTCAGCAGAGGAGGTCAGGATCAGGTCCAGTGACAGTAACCAGGGTCAGCCACAGTCTAGTGATCGCCAGGCAAAGCCATAATGACGAGGAAAGGCCGAGGTCAAGCCGGGAAGTCAGTCTGTGGGTTAAGGTCCAGGTCCAGATTAGTGAGGTCCATGGCCAGGCACAGGCATGGCTGTCGCTCTGGCCAGGCTCCAGCAGCAAAACCTCAACTTCAACCCCACTCCTACAAGAGGGGATGGTCAGGACTGGCCGGGGCCTCCCCACAAGGGCATATGGCAGCCTCTGAGCTGGTCCTAAGCCCAGGGAGTCAAAGTCCCATAGCAGTTGAGGGATGGAGAGGGAAATGGAAGAATGGTCTCACAGCCCTTACAAATAGTTGCAGCAAAATCTGCAATGTTAATTTTCTCTGTACTGGAGTCAGCAGGCTTGGAGAAATAGCTGGGCTAGCAGGGACCTCTGCAGGGCTCTGGCTCAAACTGCTGCTCAAAGCAGGCTGCCTACATCAGGCTGCTCAGGGCTTTTGCTTTGCTGCAGCAAGTGACATACCTGGAAGAGTCTGTTGCACTCCATGATCATGTGGGCCAAGCCCTGCGTCGCTGCCAGGTTCTCACTCAGCTCCCTCTGGTCTGGCTTCCCCAAGCTGCACTTCCTCTGACTAGATCTACAGAGAGGGGAAGGTGAAAGGAAAGCTCTGTGAGCAGGGTGCTGTGAATCTCAAGTACAAGGTGCCTACTCAGCTGGCCTGCCTTGGGGCTGGAAACCAGCAGCTTCAGCAAAAACCACTGCATTGAGGGACCCTTGTGTGCTGTATAGGTGCTCGTGTTACATTACAGCAGCAAGGGCCATAGACAACATACCCTTCCAAAAGTGCCTGAGGCAGTCCTGGCCAGCAGTAACATATGCCCAAGAAAGGCAAGTCAAGGCTTTTTATTCCCCAAGCAGATCATCACACACACTTGGCTAAGGACAGCAATGACCTCAAACTGACTCGTGTTGTAGCCTTCAAATACCAATCTCCTTTGATATCCTGCAAAGCCCGTGTAGAATCTTTTAAATCCTTTGGACCAAACCACACCAAACACATTTCAAAACAGTCCCCTCTTTTAATTCATAATCATTATATGACATCATTAATCCTGGCTTCTGATACTTTTATCTATGTGCATTCCTGCCAAATGGCTTGAAAATTGGGTGGAAGATAAGAGTCCTCAGCACTGCTCCTCAAAGTCAGACCTGTCAGCTGCTACCCTTTGAAGTCAGAACCCTGCACTACAGCATTAATGCCCAGTTGCAAAAAAGCTAAATCTTCAAAGCATCCTGGCTTCTAAACAGTGACAACAAAGAGAAAACTCAGTTTCTACTTTTGGCCCTAGCATTTCAGAGTTAACATTTATGCTAACCGAAGAGGTACAGCTCTCAAAGTATGACTCCCAGGAGCTCAAACACAACTGCAACCCAGGAAGGACCTGCTGCCACTACAGTTCCATCACACCCCACACCTGCCCTCGCCATGACCACTCAGCTCCCTGGCCATGTGCCGGCTCAGCTGGGCAGCCCTGGGATGTTTAGGATGTTTTGTGCCATTCAAAAGAAAAGTCATTAGTGTTTTCTTTCCCTCCTCTGTGCTATCCACAGCCTGTGTCATAATCCTGAAAGATCCCAATAGTACATCTAACAGCTCTGCTTTGGAATCAGTCCTCATCTTTAGATCCCCCTGTGAGGTGATGAACTCCCTACTCTGATGGGTGCACAGTGTTTCCATCACAGTCAGCTGTCCTTTTCCTACCCTGATACGTGTCTGTCCATAGGCAGTAGCATGGAGTAAAGCAAACAGCCCTGCCTCAGGAGACCAGATAAGGCATGAATGCTCTCAGAGATTATTTGTCTACTTTGGCCCAAGGGCACCTTCCTCCCTGCACGTACAAACAGGGGATGTTATGCAACCCAGATACTTTTACTTATTAAGATAAATTTACAGAATTCCTGTGGCTCAGTTTGGCAGGAATGATCCCCTTATCACCCAGCAGAACTAGTGCTAGCAACTGCTACCTTCTGCCAGATATCTGAGGGCCTTAAAGCTGCACCTGGGCTTGGGTTGCCAGTGCAGGAGCTACGTTGTCAATGGCCAGCACCACCTTAATGCAAACAGTGGCCCACATGCTGGGTTCCTGGGCAGCTGGACCTGTGGGCAACCACAAAGAGTACAGCAGCTGTGAGGGGCCAAGCTATCTCGCATGGAGACTAGTCAGGAGCGTGACAATGGGGCCTTACCATTGTTCTCTACACTGAGCAGTGAGCTGCTGGGTCGCTGCATGCACAGTAGGCAGCTCCTGCAGGACCTGAACAACCATATCTGGGACAAAACCCAAGACATATGCACTATTTCCCCCTCAAAAGCAGAGACCGATCCTAGGCAAGCTACAAAAGACATTGTTCCGCCAAAGAACCCTATGGACAGCAGCAATGCCAGCATTAAATGCTAATACCTAGTGGAAGAAGAACTATCCCGTCTCAGGGTGTTGAGGTGAAACAAAGAAGGTGCAAGACAGACAGCAATGTTGGTTGGAGTCATCTGATTTTCCTCAACAAAAGCAACCACATCTCGCAGAAAGAACAGGAGAATTTTCAAAGCTTCTCGGTTTTCCTTTGGGAGAAGGAGAATAGCAGCCTGGACAGCCTGAAACTGCTGATCCTTTGGCACGTCTGAAAACAGAAAAATGATGAAAATCACACACGACTTGCAGAGGAGGCATCCATCAGGAGAGTCCCAGGCAGCGCACTGAAATTGTAGGTTCATCCACTTCCTGCCACTCTAGCTCACAACAGACAAGGCAAAGGTCATTATCACAGTCACAGCCAACAACCCTTTTCTCCTATTGCCTGTCAAGATGAACATTCACACCCAGTGATGATAGTGCTTGACTTGCAATTTATCTTGAACACTATGCTAATGAATTTATCCTGAACTGGCTCTGGTTACAAGCCAGCTAAAGTCTTGTCTTCCCATAAAGTATTACTCCAGAAAGATTTTTTTGGAGCTCAAAGCTACTCTACTGTCTTTTCCTTTCAGCTTCAGGCATGACGAGAACAGATGCTCTCAGATAACTCAATTCGGAAAACAATGTTTTGCCAACAGATTTTAATTCACAGTAAAACCCAATGAGACTGTCTGCCCAAACAGCTCCTGCAGGAGAGTAGGTATGGTTCATCTTGCCATGCATTCCCCTGTCACGAGTTCTTCAATTTACACCACCGAAAAGGGTAGAACATCAATTATCTTTCCCTTCAAGTAGAAGCACATATGTAAAACATACAAAACATGCTTCTTGGTGAAAGCAGCACATTTCTTATCTCCAAAAGATAGTAAATTAACCTGCACACTTGCTCAGGTCACATGTGGCACAAGATGAGTGAGTAGGGTAAGTAGAATTCAGTCATTTACTGTTTCTATCCCAAATCAAGAGACAAGAGGTAGATGGTGGCCACGGTATAATAAATGGAAGAAACCCGTTTCATACCCAGTGGACATAGGAATTGCGGACCTCCTTTCAAAATGGATTTGTGGATGCAAAAAGAAAATTTGCTTCAAACAAATAAGCAAACCATTTTCAGACAAAATTCTAAAAGCCTGTCAGGTTAAAAAATAAAACACAACCCAACTTTCACGAACTTACACCATACACAGGTCAGCAGCAGCTCATTTACTCATGTCGATCCAAGTCACGTAAAACAGGCTGGAAATCAATCCACTCAGAATTGACTTTCAAAACCTTTTCTCAGGGAACTTGCCTGTAGCAACACCATCATAGTCCCTACAGGAAGTTCCTTCCCCAACCCAGCTGCTTTTTGAAAGTGAATTTCTTTATGGCGAAGTACTGGAGATAGAGCCTGTTTAAAACTATATTCAATGCTAGATTTCAGCTTCACATTTCCTTCTTTTTCAGGTTGAGACTCAAAGATAGTAAGTGAGTGAGAGTATGGACAGAAAATTGCTGGCATTTCCAGGCAAAGATGCTGTTTCACAGCAACTGTGTTTGGACACCTTAATAAAGACATTTCAATATAATATAACATGACTTCTTGCACAAGGAGCTACTTCATACCATGAACAAGGGGACTAGATTTTGTCTTAATTTTGCATAAGGAAATTACTTTAAAAAAAAAGTTTAGGAGAGCTGCTTAGAGAGAACAGAAAAGACATGATGATAGAAAACAGCTGGCCCATAGGATGCAGATGTGAAGCTCTTAAGTCCAGAGCCACAATGAATTAATCTTTCCAGAAAAGTCCTGCCTGACTTGTCTCCTCTGACTACAAGGGGACATGGCACTAGTCCTGGTTTGGCCACTGCCTTGTGCAGCTGAATATTAAGATATTTGAGGAGCTGGAAAACTATAGATTTTGTTACGTACATTGGTAGATGTGGAGGAAGGATTCACAGAGCCTGCTAGTAAATATAGGCTCAGGAAGGTCTCGGAAATACTGCTTCACCATATCTGCCACATCAAATGCTGACTGCCCTTCATAACACACGTTGTTTGGGTTGGTTTCATTCATCTCTCTTAAAGACAGAATCCTGGATTTAACACCAGATTTTCGGAACAGACCAACCTGTGGGTAAAAGAGAATATTAAAGACAGAGGAGTCATCAGGAATCAAACCTTTGACAAATAATTGATTTTTCACTTTCCTTTTGATAGCTAAGACCCTATGGTAGTGGGATCTAACACCAAAATATTTTTGTATTGCTAGAAGCAGCACAGATATTCCTCCCAGGCAAACCATGACTGATGTCCACAGAACCAGCTGTGAAAGACACACCAATTTCCATGTTTGTTTGCTTGCTTTTTATTTAATGCAAAATTACTCTTTTTGGCTTTTAAAATCATTATTACTGACATCTGTCAGTTTGCTTGAGCAGGCTATGTTCACACATTAGAACTGCAAGTTTCTAATGCACCAATGTGTGTTCATCCAAAAGCAAATGTACACTGACGCCAGTGCTGGAGCAAACCCAGGTTTAACATCTGATAGGTCTGATACCTCTGATACATCTAATACATCTACAGGTTGGCAGCAGGCAATTGCCATTCTGAGGGAAATTATTTTAATATGAATGTCAACTGAGTTTCACACAAAACCTAGATTTAGAAGTTTCCCATGAACTTGACCTCAACAAAGCTTCTGCTGAAAGTTTCACTGTGTGCCAGAGACAGTATTTGTATTCATTTGTTTATTTATATTAACTTAATAGATACCATGACCTCAAAATGAAATACACCGCCTTTGTAAGAAACTGACTGCTCACACTCCAGTATGTGACATCAAATTGCATCGTAACTTCACAGGATGCACATATTTTTGTACATTGGCATGATATTACACACCTATACAATTGCAAAGCACAGGAAAAAACCCCAACCTTTCTTTAGCTAATATGTGTCATGTCACGGGTCTCCCATTTCTGCAACTATGCTATGAAAATAGCATATGCAACACACAGTTCCACTGCCATGCACACATCTCCACTTAGTGGATAAATACAGATTTGAGATCCAGAAAAAGATGTTACAGGCACTGCTATACTATGTTTTATCTCTCTTTAGTGGTTATCACATTAGGTCTGTCACTACCAGCAACCATGGCACAGAGGGAATAACAACACTGCATGGTAGATTTACTTCCTAAGGGAGCAGAGACATGCTACCTCACCAGAAAAAGAGTTTGACTGCCTGAACCAAGAGAACTGACTGAAGATGGTCTCAGTGAGGCAAGGCACAAAAATACAACACAGGACTAATGCTATTCCCAGAAGGAAACAGCACTGGTATTTCCTCACAGGCCACCCTGCTCAGACCTACTCTTTCTGCCTATTCAGAGCCTTAGGAGGCAAGAAAGACCCTCACAAAATCTGAAGCAGACTGGTTCCCTGGAGCAGATCTGTTTAGGTACCAGAGCTGCTCTGAGCTGCCTCAAGTTCATACCTGGTCAAGAAAGTGGCTTCTTAAATAGTCCAGTGCTTGCAGTATGCCATTAGGCAGTGGGTGACTTGTTCGCTGAACATTCAGAAGTAAAGGAACCCCAAACACATTTTTGTCCTTGTAGTCAGAGGCTTTTATTTTTTTGATGAACTTTGGTATAGTCCTGAAAACAAAAAACAGTGCATGCAACTTATTAGCTCTCCAGCACAGTTCCACCTGCTGCTTTAGTTAGATGCATGGGAAAGGATTTATTTATACTTGCACAACTTCAAATTCTAACACATACCTATACACATAGCATCATAAGATAGAGAGAAATATCATTACGGGCAATTACTGGAATGACTTCCTCATTTCAAAACTGAAATTAGCTTTAATAAAGCATCCTCATGTGAAATATGTTCCATCCCACTGCAGGCTTTTTTCACTTCTTTCTATATTCAAGTACCAGATGCCTATCACAAGATGCTAACGGATATTTTTAAGTCCTTTGAATGACTGATTTTGCCATTGTTTTAGTTCAAACAGGGACTTGACGCTGAAGAGATGGATTCTCAGCCCAGCCAGATCTCACCTCAGGTCCTGCAGTCTCTGTGAAGAACCTCTGACAAAGCCCTGCAAATGGGCAAATTTAGAGAGAAACTATAACATGCTCTAAAATCAGTAACAACATGATCACCAGTGAGGATCAAAAGTGCAGTTCATAGCAGAGGAAATCCTGGAGCCATTGAAATAACCATGAAACTGCCAGCGATTTAACAGGATGAAATTCCCCATCTTGACCATGTGTAATCTGGGCAGATAAGGCAATTCACCTGTTTACATCAAATGCTCTCTTTCCAACACAGGTTGCTTTAATATTAGACAACTTACCAGTTCCAGCCCTGCTTACTGGAAGGGGAGTATCTGTCCATTAAAGCAGTGAGTTTCAACAAAGCCAGCTTTTGTGTCCGGACTAGCTGGGCAGCTGACTGGCCATCAGTATGGATGGAAAGGCTTTCCAAGTTCACGCTCTCCTCCACAGACCAGTGTTGCTTCCTGTGCCTACAGGATAAATATTGTTTAAGTTTAGGACTATTTCTATTGTCCTGTTAGAGCCTTAGGTGCTTCACAGATGGAGGCAGAAAACTAAATGACCTGGAGTTGCCAAACACCATATTGTTAGTTGCATTTAAACAAGGTACTTCTCATCCAGGAGGTACTCTGGTATTACAAAACGTTTCAATAAGAAATACAGCAAGCTAGCCATAAAGCCTGATTCCAAATGTCTAAGTGCTCCTGTAGATCGTGAGCAGCCAACTTTCAACAGAGCTGATGTAGATACCAGAGTGACTACAGACCAGCAGTACCTGGCACCAGCGGTGCAGATCCAGAACAGACTTACTTAAGAATACTTTGTTCTGGAAAAGCGATTACATTTTGAGTGGAGAGAATCAATGGGGAAAGGTTCCCAAGGGGCAGGCTACTAGGGAGACCCAAGGCTACCTGACCTGTTGGTCTTTTTGGAGTTTGTCATGTATGCCAGTTCTGCAGAACTGATCTCCTTGCCCAGTTCACAGCTGCTCTCTCCCTCGATGGTTGCAAGGTCTGCGGGCTTATCTTCTGAGCCCTCTGTTTCAAGACAGATTTCTTTAGGTGAGGATGGATACAAAGATGTCAAGTCACTTGCAAAGTCTGAATCCCCATCATCTGAGAACTTCTCTGTCCACTGATCAACCAACTTTTTGAGACCTTTGACGTCTTCTATAACATTATTCAGTTCTGAAAAAATGTCATCATCACCAACTTGTGCTGCCTCCAAATGATCAAGTTCAATATTGGGCATGTTGTCATATACACTCAGCCTTTTATCTGTGCATGAAACGGGGCCCCTGGGGGCTTTGGAGTCCTTGGAACTGCTTCTGCTTCGGCTCCTCCTGCATCCATGAAAACTCCCTGTTCTCCAGTTGATGGAAGAGTTGTCTCCTGGAGACAGGGAGCTGTTTGTAAGTGCTTTGGGGAAAGTGCCAGGTTTATGGCCTTGTGGTATTTGAAACATCTGGTTCATTTGTAACTTCATGTCATTTTTTAGGTTTTGCTGAGATAGATCATTCCACAGCAAGAGCTTGTTAGAATCCAAGTCCTCTGCATACACCCCCCTTCCTTCACAGTGGCTTTGTGGTTTTATAAGAGGACTTGGACTGCTCACTATGCGGCTATTGTCAGACTGGTTACTGCTATTGCAACTCTGGGGAGAAAAGGAAGAATTGTTCTTTGTTTGGACACCAGAGAGGTCAGAAATATTTACACAGTTCAGCATCTTCATCTTTTCTTCATTAAATCCTTCCAGAAGAACAGGTTCACTTATTATGGGTTTGGCCTTTGACTGACCACTCCTTAAGTTGCAGCTCCTTAAGTGTAATTTCTCCATTTTCTTTAGAAGGCTCTTCCTCTTTTTATATGGTGACTTATCCAAAAGCTTCCCTTCACTGGTGATATGTAAAAATTCAGTGGGGGGAGGAGAAGAGCTAAAAGCAGAGTCCAGTGAAGCCACCTTAATTGAGGAACATCTTGAGGAACTCATGCTGGTTTCCACATCTTCAAAAGGTTTTGGAAAGTTAACAATGTCACTGTCACCACTGCTAGTACTGTTAATTGAGGACACATCATGTTTCTCGTTATGATCCAGAAAGACAGTATCCTCACTGCTGATGCTCTTCAGTATTGGACTGCCTGGGACTGATGCACTAGCACCTTCCTCTCCTGGGACACCTTCTAGGCTTTCAATACGAGACCATCTCTGACTGCATCTCTCATAAGCCCATTTGTTACTTATTGCACAAGGTTCATCATCTTCAGAGTCATCACTCTAAGATTGGAAAAAAAAAAAAATCGGGGGCAATGTTTGGCAAACTTTAAACTACAAGAAAATGTAACAAAAAAGGAGACAAATTTTCTGCCTACCTCCAAAACTCTTGAAATGTAACCATACAGTTACTGAAGGTCTGCCCTGAGCTCTGTTCTGTTAGTTGAAAAACATCCTGACAAATCACTCCCAAGCATGCTTGGTAAGTTCACCACAGGAAAATATGACAGATTTGATCTGAGAATGAAAAATTCTGTTCTGCAGCAAATCCAAAGGCTTTGAAAGATAAATGTATTGGCTTTACATGGCCTTTCCTAACACCAAACACATCAAACACTCTTTCGTGCTTCTGTGACCAAAACTCATCCATTTTCAGGTAAAGAAGCATTTGGCTGCAGGACTGTGGCAGCACCAATAACTGGCGCAGTCTCTTGGAGCCCTCAGCCTCACCAGCCATTTGCTCCAGGTGCCCCATTCCATGTCAGCACCTGGCCAGCAAACTGTTGGAGAGATGGGAATGACCTGTCTCTTCTCTGTGGACCCTCTCACCCCATTCTTCCCTGAGTGGAAGTTCCAAAAACCGCAGTTTTTCCAAAAGATGACATTATTTTCTTGCTAGCGCTGCAGTTAATCCATGATACCTAAGAGGCTTTACGATCCTGGTGTTAACCAGCCAAGATGTGGCTATAACTCTGGTTTAGCTACAGTACATTTTTGCTGCAGAGGACAAAGCCAGCACAGCTGAAACCTATCCAACTTCTATTGGCTAGACATTCAGCATTGACTGACACTATTTGGATTGTCCATTTTAATTTCTTATCCTTCATTTAGTCAGTAAGAGTGAAATCCCACATTCAGGCCTTAAATAAGAAGTGAAACTACTTAAGAAAGTAATAAAAGACACACTGAGGTGGAGTCTTGGTGCAACTGTTGGACAGTAATGTGTGTCAAATTATTTTTTAAAATTGTTTCAAAACCCACCTCTAACCTACCTTACAAAGTTACAAAATTAACATTACATAATGTCAATCTCCATCGCTATGTTTTTCAGTGGAAAATGCAAATGGAAGAGCTTTGCAGGGTGGAAGAGAACAGAAAGAAAAGTTCAGAAATTGCTAATCCTTCTTACACCTTTGAAAAACAGGTTTTTGATATAATAGCTAAACATATTTTTAATGAGAAAATTAACTATATTTTAAAAGCATACCCGTTTCCTCTGACGGCTTATTTCCACTTTCATTGATGCACACTTATTCAACGTGTTCAACCGTCTAGGGTATAAGAAAACAGAAGTTTTAAATTTAAATTATTTTATTTCCTGGAAACAAACATGCACCAAACCAGTTGTGAACTTCTACCATGGAATCTTCATTACTGGTGTCAAAGACTGACATTCTGTTAGAGGTTCTCCATACATTTTGCCAAAACCAGCGACAACTAACAACCCCATGATGTTCACAGTTCCAATTCTGCCATCTTAAAATTAGAGGACCATAATTAATCAGTTAATTCAAAATCATATGATGAGCTTTAATGATTGTGAAAAACTGTATATTGCTTTAAGATTTCGAAAATGAAAGAAACTCTGAGTGGACTTCTTAAAAAAAATTTTTAAAATGAAGACATTAATCTGTACCCTTGGAAAGATTTTATTGTCTGTCTTTTTAATTAAAACTTGTGGAATCAATAAGGGCCCAAACTAGTCAAGTCACTTAACTGTCAAACAAATATGTGGCATCAACAGGGAGGCACACTGACAGCCTTTGAGGAACACTCAGGACAGAAGTCATATCAAGAAACAAAATATATCCAAAGTTCCCTAATACCTGATGTGCACTCGAGTCATATATGCAAACAACTCCTGCTGATGCTCCTGTTCCAAGCAGAATTTTAATTCATATGACCTAACAATACAGAAAAGGACTGAACCACTTTCCCAGAAGAGGAATCTCCAGTCCCTTAACAGTCAGAAATTCTCTCTGCGTCCCTTGGGTCAGCCAGGTGGTGTGGCACGGGTAGTCTGGAGTTCGCTTCACCTGCTAAACAACCTCATCACGAGAAGGCTTCAGTAAGTGCAGGAAGTAGCAAAGCAGAATGCCTCTACACTATCCTGGCTTACACCCCACTCACATGGGGAAAGTCCAAAGAGCAATAGGTTTGACTTTGCACTGATGATGCAATTTCACTTTTGTTCTGTGAACAGCTGTGGCAAAATAATAATTTTACATCAATATCTGTGCTTCTCACTCAAAAAAAAAAAAAAAAAAAACCCAAGAAAACAAAACAGAAAACATATCTCTTGTGCAGATCACTTTTTCTGTTTATCATCTGGAACAGCTCTGGGGAAGCTCACTAGTCAGAGGAAACCCCTGCACTCTGTAATATGCAATTCTAAAGAGTAAACTGTCATGCTACCATATGCTTGCAGGGAACAGATTATTCTTTCTCAGCTTGCAGACATTTCACATCACAGAAAAGACAGATGTGATGCTTGAGACCTTGGCTGAAGAAGACATGCAGATACATACTTACTTTACCTTTAAATTCTTAAAACAACCAAGTTCAGTGGTACTGAAGTATGTGCTTAAGTGATTTCCTTCAGTGGCAGCATTGGTGACTTTGTTAGTCTCTGACACAAACTAAGGCATGAAAAGATGAATGACAAATAAGTATGGAGCCTGGAGGTATTAAAGATTATTAATGTTTACCTGAATAGCGATTCAATCGCATCTCCATCTAAAAATTCGTGATCTTTCCTCACAGTTTTTACATCAATGGGAAACTGCATATCTGTAAATAAAGAAGTTGAATCTGAAATCTGTGTTATAATTACAAAGACTTTGAATTTTGCAACATATTATCATAGACAAAATAAATCGGAATTGCTATAACTATATATTCACACAAATGTCCTTCAAGTGAGGAGTAAGTGGGAGAATAAATGTAGGTATCTGCCTGCTGGTTTTAGTTACAGGTAGACAAGCATTTGCTGCATTGCCAGGAGCTTGCAGTGACTAAGTACTACAGCCAAGAAATACAAAATTAAAGTTTTGCTTTAGTTAGGTTCTCTGCACCTTCTGCCTTCAAGTACAGTATAAAACATGAGCTTTTGCTGATGGCAAGGTACGGTGCAGCACACGACATATGCTCTTTGAGGTGTAGTGGGCCAGACAAATCATGCTGTGCTTGAAGCTAATCGATACACCAGCTGAGGAGTTCAATAGTTCAGCTTCTGAGATTTAGCCTTGCAGATGAGGGAACCTATGAGATCCATCAGTATTTTCTTGACTGATTTTTTAAGCTTAATTTACCTACTCAAGTCAGGACACTGCATAAACAGCAAGTTAATAGAGAGGATTAATTTTGCAGATGCATGACGATGTACCTTTCCAACAAACTGTGAGACTGACAGCTTATATAAGGAAATCTGCTGGTCAAACAGGAAACAGTTCCATAAGACATCATGTCTCACAGGATACAGCTTTCAGAATGGGCTCTATTTCTCGACTTCCAATTTTTAATTTTGCAGTGAATGAGGGAGGTGGGAATAAGAGCAGGCAGAAGTTGCTCTTAGCTCTTTGATAAAATCGCTCTTAAAAATATATTAGTTTTTGGTACATTTAATGTTTGTAACAATAAACCTACTTTAAAGAAGAACAGTTTTAAGGCAGAAGCACAAGTATTGCCTGAAAATTACACACTTTCTCAGCAAATCCATAGCTCCCCCACAGGTAATGAGCACTCTGTAGCTTTAACAACATGCAAACATGCTGAAATTGCATTGTTTGACTGGCTGGCTGCTTCTGAGAATCTGTTTTAAAAACTTATGATTGCAAGATGATATTTCCAACATTCTTTTTCAAAATACCAATAAAACAATCTTGCTCAAGACCACAGGCTTAGATGAGTTTTAGTTGCAATCAGTGAGTCGTAAAAAACCCCCAACACTCCAAGGAATCATACCTTCAAATAGCTGAGCATACTGGGGAAAACCAGCAGCTCTCAGCCAGTCACAGGCTTCTCTGGCTTCAATTTCTGCAATAAGAACATAAAATTGTTCACTTAGAGTGCTCGCAAGAGTCAGTGCTTTCACAATATAAACAAGCTAATTTTATCTGGTGGATTCTCAGAGGGTCATGTGTATGAATGTTTTGTTAGTATATTACTAAAAAGAAATTCTTGTATGCGACACACTTATAAGTACATAGCTTTGGAGCAGTCATTCCAACATAGGATACATAGCAAACATGAAAGATATGAGCACATACTTGAGATGTCATATATCCATATACACCAACTACCCCTGAGATTTGGACCTTGAAGCATCTGTTACATGTTGAAATGAGTCACGAGAGGAGGGTATGTGATACACATGTCCATGCCCTCACACAGCAAAGCCCATTCATGCATTCCAGTTCTGACAGATGGTGATAAGACACAAACAAATCCTATAAATAAACTTAAAATGCTATCACAACATTAATAACACTGGACACATCTAAGCATTCCCAGAACAAGAGTTCTCAGGACTACCTGTTGCTAGGGTCTATCAATATTTATTTCCTTGCCAACTAACAATGCAACTTGGCAGTCACTTCAGTGCAGCAGATGTCAAGAATTAGCTGCTCATTTTGTGACAATGGCCAATACTGTAACAGTCCCACAGGAGCAGAAGCTGAAGACAACTTCACACAATCACAGGACACTCACCAGATTCCTCAAAAACATAAACACGTTCAGCATGAGTACATGCCAGTAGGCTCTAAACTCTTCAAATACTAGAAATTACTGGGTCTGTTGAAGAGGAGAGGATTCCCATACTACACTTTTTGTATGTGTGGGTGTACTCCAGGACACATTACAGCAGCACCAGTCAAAAGGTAACAACTCCTTTGACAGCAGCATTTTAAAACTACCGTAAAATCAAGCATGCTCAGTTGAGAGAAATGCTTTTAAAGTACCTTAAAATGTAGTGTTCTAGGCTAGAGGAACAGACCTGTTTCTTAAAACTAGTTTCTTTACATGTGCACTCAAAGATTAGGATTCCAAGGCATTTCACATACATACCTATTCAAATTCACTGCTTGCTTTGCTCTGCCTTCTCAGTTGTAAATCATCAGTGCAACAGACTGAAGAAACTCATCAAAAAACTTACAGAACTTCCATGATGTTATTATACTATTTCTAAACTTTAAATTATTTCCATTATCACTTGATTAATTTGGACAATGCCATCCATAACAAAGGCTTTCCGGCACAAAACTCTATGGCTTTTTCATCCGAGAATAAAGCGATACCACAGGATGATAAGGATATTTCTACATAAAAAGATGCATGACTCTTTTTTTTTTAAACTGCAGAACAGAAACTAATTTCTTCCACAATAGCCTATATAGACTATGCTTACATTTGTTACTGTACTTAGTGCCATAATTTATCATAATCTTTATGATAACACAGCATTTACTGAATACCAAGACAAGGAACTGATAAAACACAAGCATTGTACTCACAGACTAAAACAGGAAAGGAAAAAAACCCTGTAGAAAAGAGCCAGGAGGAGGACCAGTCTAACACCAAAAGTCTTCACAAAGACAAAGTAATTTCCACTTAGTAAAACCCAGTAGATTCACTCAACCAGCTCATCTGTGGAGAAACTATAGCAGTCCTCATTCCAGACCTCACTTTAAGCTGGTCACCTTGAGCCTGTGCACAGCTTTCCTTAGCTCAGACAGGAGAGTGACTGTGGAGGGGTCGAGGCTTCCCCAGTTCCCAACACATTAAAACTACAGCTCTATTTTTAGAGTAAACCAAGCCGTGAACAGTAAGGCAAATAAGAACAGGCTAGACAGTATTTTGCAGATAGTGATGACATTTTCAGTGAATGTGACTGAAAATACAATGGTAATGTCATTCTCACACTTGGAGGTGACCTCTTCCATAGGATGAGGACACAGGAGCTGGGGGAATTTTCTTTGCTAATGTAAATCTTCAGGCCTTTTAACATGCCTTTGCACAGTCCCATGTTGCAATGCCCCTGCTGTGTTAGGAGACAACACATGAAGTCCTATTAAGTTCTTGACCTGCATGTCTACAACTATTTGCCATTAGATTTGCTGCGATTATTTTACTGCCAAAATAACTACCAAAAAGATCCTATTGATACCTCTATATTTCAGGGACGTCTATGCTGCCTCCTCCCAGTGCTACTGGAAATTGAAATCCTAAAGAGAAAATGAATGCCTAGGAATTTTACTCTGATGAAAGGAAATTCCCAGACCAGCCTGCATTACTATGATAATGATCAATATGAGAGGAGGAAATAAAAAGGAAATAAGAAATAATTGCTCAAAAGGAAATAACTGCTCTCCATAGGGCTGCACTCAGTACTGACGTGCAAGACTGCTTTGCTTTTATGTCATGAGCAGCATGAAGGACAAGTGGAAACTCGTTAAGATAGTAATGGCAGAATACAGATGAAGCATCCCAGCAATGCTCTCCATCAGGGACCCCGGAGAGTTCTAAAGCTCTAAGAATAAAAGTCGCAGTGAAGTAAAAGAAGAGCAATAATCATGAGTTAGCTTTAACAGCTAACACTAACATACCCACCTTGGGCAGCAACTGTTATAAACGTGCAACAGATACTTATAAATCCTGCCCTAATGGAGGTGCTAAAGCAGCAATCACAGTTCTGGCAACCCGCATGATGCTCTGAGGATTGCATTTAAAAGCGGCCAAAGTTCAGTTTCCTATGTAAGATTCCTTCAAGAAAAACAGAGACAATTTTCCTGAGGGCTCTCTGGGGCTATTGAAAGTACCCTCACACTATTTTTTTGGCAAGACAAACAGTACAGATGAGCCATTTGTGCAGAAGACCCATTCCTACCTTCTGACTCCGGCTTGGCCTCACAGCCTGCCTACTCTGCCTTGCCATGCAGTGATGCACCTTCCCAGACAGCCTCGCCGACTGGATAGAATTTGTGTTCCCATTTCTATAGTTGCACTACAAAACAATCTTCCAGGTTTACCAATCAACTTTTAAAATAGATGACTAATAAACACAATCTGATAGCAACTGCTTAGTTGTTCTTGATGTTAGAATAGCTGCTCAGAGAGAAGTTAGCTCTTCCTGAACAGAAACTGGAAACAGGGGAGCCTTCAGAAAGCCAATATGGAGCAGCACCCCCAAATACTATTGCAATTGCAAGCATATCTACCTGTGAGCCAGATGTCATACAAGAAGGTGACAATTTTTTAACAACCTTTTGGGTTCCATCTGCACAACTGAAATAGCAGAGCAACCTAAACATGTCACCTCTTCCTCATGAACTGATTTCATAATTAAGCAGATGAAAAAAAAAAAATTTCCTGCAGAGCTTAATATTCTATCTTAGATTAGAGGTAGCCAGCAAAATTTTCATGCCAAGCCAGCTGTTTCCCCATGGGCTATTGGGCAATAGGTTACTGCCAGATGCTTATGAGTAGGTGACTGGTGCCATCCTTTGGCTGTACTATGTTACACAGGTCTGTTCTGTGCTGATGATGATTCACTCCAGTCCCACTGAAAACAGCACTGAAAATTATGCCTGTGCCACAGCCTGCCACAGCCTTGCCCCCCTCCATGGCTGCTGCCCCTTTTTTCCACTGTGGTGCCACTTGTGCTCCACTGCCTCCTTCTCTCCAGAGCCCCAGAATCTACATCATCTTGGCTGACATCTCCTCTCCTTCATTCATTTGGGCTTAGAACCTGAAAGACTGCATTCCCCCATCTGAGCACCATCCTGTTTGCAGTCTGGAGAGCAAACCCAGACTCAGGTAGTTAGAAACCAGATGGTACAATGTGTACTAAATCCCTATCAGAATGAGCATCAGTGTTAACAGGAGTACTTGCAATAATGAAAAGACATCTGTGCTGAGATGTTTTCCTCACAAGAAGCACTTTCCTAACAGCAAGGGAGAGGCAGCAACTGAAACCATGGAGAAGCTGTATATGAAACAGAGCAGTCCGTCTTACTACAAGATGATCACAGGCTTCAACTAGAGTGTCAAATTGTACTTCAAATTTATAAAAATACTTACTCTAAATAAAATGTGGGGATACCCTATTTCAACGCATAAGTACCACAAATCTTACTCTCAGGATGCAGCACAACTTTTCAGTTGCAGAGATCTGCTGCCAAAGCAGGAGCCCTGTTTCTTTCCTTTCCCCTGACTGCATGTTCCTACCCCTCCCCACCGACACACGCTGAGCCTGTGTGAGCAGGCCTGGCCAGCCAAACTGGCAGGAAACCATTCACTTTTTTTGGCAACATCAGATTCGTGATGCTTTAGCTTCCTGAATCATCTACCACACGTTCAGATGAGCATCAGTGGCCAGACAAGGGCAGTGGTGGCCACATGCAGGGAGAGGCATGGGAGCACGCCACTGCCCATGGGTGGCCACCAGCCCTTAGGGCAGCTCAGCTAGTATGAAATCTTAGCCCAAATGTATTGTTTTTCACGGAGGTGTCTCATTGTAGATCTTCTATTTCAAGTAATTGAAAGTAAATTTTTAGCAGATTTTTTAAACCCATGGTAGATGCGTTGGTTTTACTTCTTCTTCATCCAAAATAGTTTTACAGTTTTGACAGGTAAGAATCACATGGTGATCAGGTCTTAAATAATTAAAGGGATCTGTGTTTAAATATGAACACCTTCCAAAACCATGCCAGTGAGCAGTTTGAGAGGTTTTCTTGCTGTTCGCAGCACCTCTGCATTAATTACTCTGTGTAGAGTATTACTCTGTGATAGGAGTGCAGCGCTAGCGAAAAGGAGCAGCTTTCTCCACACAGCTGAGGAGGCTCTCACACCGCCTCCCCTCCCCATGCCATGCGAGTACAGACAGAACAGAAAAGAGGGTAGGACTGACTTTATTTGAGTACATATTACACCAATCTGGAAGGCAACAGGAAAAATTCCAAAGAATTCCGTTCTTTCCCAATCTCACTCATTACATAGGCAGCGGGTTTTTTCCACAGGGCACTAATCCTCCTACA